GCCCAAAAATGTTGCATTTTGGACGCATTTTAACGCGTCACGTTATATTGCACAAACGCTCGGAAACGCGTCACAAACCCTAAAAATAGTTACATGGGCACCGAAACCATATCTTACTAATTCGGGTATGAATGCTGAATTCAATCGTCTTGAAATACCAATGATTCTTTTCTTTATTTAGTGGCTTCGTCGGATATTTTGGATGATTTATTAATTGAATATAGTTTATTGAGTAAGTAAAGCAAAACATATCTTTTTGCTATCTCGTTTTTGAATTATGTGTAGATCCTGACAATGTCAATATACCACTATTCGATGAAGGTAGTGAATTCTATGATTCATTGGATGAACGAATCGAAGGTAAAATAGAGAAAAATGCGGTGTTTTGTTATTCGATTCATTTTCCAGGTTTAGATCAAGCTCAATCAATGATTTTCGATGGAGAATTACCTAATTTGCTTGAACAGTCAACATTTTCGTCAGAAGAGCATTCAACTACCAGTACAAGTGAAGTGCCAACAATAACTCGAAAAGATTCAATTGTGATCAAGACATCGGTTTGTTAAAAGTTAATAATATCAATATCATTTGTGTTACTATTAGGATTTACATGCTCATTCGAATTTTATCAATTGTACTCATTTGTATCAAACAGGCGAAAGATTAAAATTACTCATATCACCGTATCTATACCAACGTGCTCGATATGAAAAAGAACATAACAAAGATCTACGTTACATCTCCACACCGGACAATAATTGCATTAAGTTTCAGGTAAATGACTCATCAGTTCTAAATTTTATCAAATTTTTTTATTTCGAAAAGATACTAGATCTTCAAAGTCATATGACACCGAACACATCAGCCATTATGCGTATATCTCGTACCACAACTCCATACGGTCCTGATCGAATTGTATTGTGTCATCCATATCCTCTATGGATGAAAGATGAACATGCAAAAGTTCATAATGGTTCTTTACTGATTGATGTAACTAATCAAATAAGGAATAATCAGTCGATTAAGTATAGATATAGATGCTTTTATATACATAAAAGAGTCAAAAGCGATTGATTTAATTTTTCAGTATCGAACATGTGTTGATGGAAAGATTAAAACAAGATGCATTGAAGAAAATCCCCGAATGGCCTATCTATACATCCAATCAACTTGATTGTGATGGTAGGACTAATCGGAAAATCAATTGAAATTCATTTTAATGAATTTACAGGTTTCTATGCGCTTAGTACAAACAAACCAAAAACTATTATTGAGAAATATAACCTTCATTATTCTGTCTTGCATTTTCAAATATTTCTCGTCGATAAAAATCAGATTGTCTATCCAACTGATTTATCATGTGAAACAGAACCGATTTTTGAATATGAAGGTAAGATTTTTCTTGCTTATCACTATAGATATTTCATTTCAATTCTTCTAGCGAAACACCGTAAGGATACTCCAGCAATTGTGGCGCCTAAGCAAAAACGTTTACAACAAAAATCGAATACGGCATTTTAATCTTTGAAACAAAATTCAAAGTATTGTTTTACTTTTTATAGAAACGGCAAAAAAATGTACCTAAGAAGATGAAACAAATCAAGAAAAATAATGTCTGAAGGACCTCATCAGCACCGCAAACACCTAATTTATTTCGTGATTATCTGCACTAGTTTTTTGAATATTTAATCAAGAAATTTGATTTTACTTTTACCTTGACAAATATATATTAGCATGATTATTTATCAATGCTAATACTAATCTCATTCTATTAATAAAAAAAAACAATTTATTTTAACAAATATTTTGTTCACATGGCATTCGTTCACGAAATAGCGAAAATATTTCAATAAAAAGATAAGAAATAATAGATCCAATTAATCCACCAAATCGTACCTGAACACCAAACCAAAACATTCCATTAGGTGAATAAGTTCGTACATAATTAGCAATAATCAAACGAGGATAACCTAGAGACATGTAACTACTAAGCCATATAAATAAAACTAAAACACTCCTTTTAGCTGTATCAACCCATGGAGGACACGGACTTTTGAATGAAACATACATAATAAACGCAAATGTAAATGATCCAAGTATAATTAAAATCCATATAAAACGTTTAGGTAAAATAGGTTTTATCATACCAAGAATCCAAACAAATGTCAACATCCATGGTGAAATAATTGTTCTTGTATAAAAAATATTTTGTCCATAAGGCATTAATACATACGCGGAAACTGACAACATCATTCCGAATAAAATTGAACTTATATAAGCACATCCTAATGAAAGAAGAATGTAGGATGAAGTAGTTAAAGATTTTTCTTGTTTATTAATTGGATTGATTATTTCGAATGATTCTTCTCCTACGATTTGATTTGCATTTCGAGCAATAGATATCCATTGTAAAAGTACGAATGAAATAAATGAAATAGTTAATAGAATAAATAAACATAAAAAATAGATTGATACTGAAAATCGTGGAGATTCATAAATAGATTCAGTTGTATTTGTTCCATTCATTGTTTGAATACAACGAATTTGACCATTACCTTGTGCGACTTGGAATAGTAAATGTAAGACTTTCACCGAGGAAAAGTGCATTTGTAAATTCTTTTCGAAATCGATGCATATAATCAGAAAATGATATTGATGATGTACAATCGAGTAACGAAAGAAATAATGCTGTACTTTGTCTTACATTAGCAATGATTGTTGTATGTGACCAAAAGAAAATTAATAAAAAAATATGAAAGCATACCAATGAGTATAACAATATAATTAATTGGTACCGGATTAAGTGTATGTTTTCGGTATAAACATTTAATAAGAATAAGGATCAATGGTGAAATATTACCAAAATTTGTAATTAAAGCGAGATTTGCACCTAATTTCCAACTTGAGGGTTGTGTTAAAATAATTTGTGGTAGTTCTACATACATTCCATTAATGTCTGTCCAGGATGAAAGAAAAACTAATGTTAATAAAATGTAAGTTACATATTCATTTAGATGCCATCGATGATGCATTGTATGAAAATAGTTTTAATTGGCACACACACGAATTATTTATGTTTCAAATTACAATCTTTATATACTCTAAATAAAAATCGTTTTCTTGGAAACCCATAAAAAGAGGTTTCCGGGCTTTTTTATGCCCAAAAGAGTTTCCGAATTTCGAAAACCCTTTTTTTGTTCCCTAAACTGAAAGGATAGGGTCTAGAAACCGAAATTCATCTACAAAGAACATTGTTTTTACTGATGACGACATTTCCTTTTTATTAAATAAACGCATGGAACGAGAACTACGAATTAATTTTGTTTTTGATAAAGTATTGCGATGGAATGTCCTGGCGACTTGATGTTTTTAGAAAGAGAAAAATATCAGGTGCAAAACTATATTGTTTATTACAATGCAAGCTTTTGCATAATATTAAAATAGATGGGATCACATACAAGAGAATAGGCAGTCGATGATACGATTCAAAAGCTCTATTTAGTCAATTTAGGATTTATAAAGCGAAAAATAAATGTTCGAGTGAATATGTCACAGAAAGCATGTGTCCTATGTAAAATAATATACTATAAAAGAGAACTCAATATGTTTTCTTTTTCACTCAAACTTTATAAATTCTTGTAACAACTCACTTTGAATAGATCTCACATTTTCGACTGTAATCGATACAAGTGATGCCATAAAACCGTTTTTTTAGAACATGTTCTTTTGTACAGCATTAATGTTTTATTCATTCATTTGGCGGTTCGAATTAGTTAAAACAGGTTCCAAAGGTTTTTGTGTCCTAATAGATCGTGCTTACAAATCGACGTTGGTCGGCGGTGAGGATGGATGTTATGGTAGAATAGAATCACCCATACCTTTATATCGAGTCTCTATTTATAAAATCGAGACCATCTTCATTTAACTTACTTACATTAAGAAAGAGCTTCAATTGAATAAAACTCGCTTAACTATGATAAGTAATCATTTTTGTAAAAAGAATACCAAAGATGGCCTTTTCAGGTGCTCTCGATAAGATTACATCTGATGATGCTAAATGTGAAAGGTCGTGCGATATGCGGTGCATTTTTTCTTTTTAAAAACATATGTCCCCGAGAAGGAACTAACAAGATTATATATACGATAAAAGTTTCGAAGTGGATGGAAGCTCTTTTATGAAACTATGCTGTAGGAATTTTTGATTAACTGCTATGTGAATCGCGGAATGTGGATAGAGCCCTGCAGAGTGCACATAACCTGCGCCGACAGGCCAGAACAGGGTAGCACGGTCATAACCTGCTATTTAATTATCGCATCACGCAGTGTCAGCATCTTTCAAAAATTTTACATGAAGACGAAATAATTGCTTTGTATCAACTGATAACTGAATTAGATTGGCCGGAATATGATTCAACGAAAACAAAGGATGTGGGTGTGGGGTGTGGGTGTGGGTGGATGTGGGTGTGGGTGTGGGTGTAGGTGTGGGTGTGGGTGTGGGTGTAGGTGTGGGGGTGGGCGCGGAGCCCAGCCCCTCCGCCGCGCGCCGACCCCACCCCCCACCCCAAGCCCCCCCCCCC